CCATCTGTGCACAAACTTATCTCGTGCCCTCATTGGTCATGTGCGGTTTCGTGTGTGTTGGAGGAAGGGCTCTGTAAGGAAGTGGCACATTTTTTCCGGTTGTGTATTTTCAAATTCTAGCGCACTCGAGCTGATTTCTCCAAAATTACATACCCCACCTTTAATGAGAAAGAAGTGAGATAGCTAAATACTTCCATCATCCATTCCTGACTTATTAATGTTTTTTTGGAAGCTAAAGTTGTTCCTTTTTTTTTTTTTTTTTTTTTTAAACAACAACTAAAGTCTTCTTTCTTTTTATTCTAGGCCCCACTCACCCTACTCCCACCACAGGGACCCCCACCCCCGCTCTACTTCCTCCCGCTCCTATAACTATGGTTACAAACGTTCCCCAACTCCGTCCTCGTCCTCTTCACCTCAAGTGGGTTACCGTTCCAGGTCCAGGTCGCCTTCAGATCACAGCAGAAACAGTCGCCACCAAAGTAGGACGACTGTCTCTGGCAGCTACGACTCCAGGAGGCGAGGAGAGCATCACCCGAGGGAAGCAGGAAGTCACATGTACGATCCGCATGTAAATCAAAGTAGCGGCATGAACCAAGAGCACTTCCTGCAGTGGAAAAGGGAGTACAAAGACTGGTGTGATAAATATTTTAGCAGTTATGTTGGACACTTCCACCAGATGCCTATTCCCCTTCTCAGTCTCCCCCATCCTCCTCAGTGGGGGGACAGAGAAGGGAGCAAAAATTACTCTCACGCTAACTCGGATTCTCGCAAGCGAGTCCAAGGTAGACTCAGCGCCCGGATGGACAAACGCTCTCCTCCGTCATCCAGCGACAGCCGCTCCTCTCCATCTCAGTCTTCACGTGACAGCCGTTCAACGCCGTCCCAGACATCCAGCGACAACCGCTCGTCTCAGTCTCATTCGTCTAACAACAGCCGCTCCCCGCAATCTCAGTCGTCCAGCGACGGGCGCTCCACACCATCCGAAGACAGAGCTCAGTTGAAGACGTATGAACGAAGGCGAACTGAGAAGAACAGCCGCCGGCCAATCACACCTCCAAAAAGCAGCGAGGAACCGCAAGAAAAGAGCCAAGGCGAAAAGCGGCAACTCAATCGGAATTTGGTCAAACACGAGCAAAAGACTGTGAAGAAACTTAAGAAGGAAGGAGTTGAAAAGTCATCCTCCCCTGACTCAACAGGTGACAGAAAGGGAAAAAGGGGCCACGAAACTGGACCAAACCCCTTTAAAGATGGCAGCCCAGGACCAGAGAGAGCAACAGCCAACGATGCCTTAGAACCAGTCCAAAAGCTTGTGAAACCAGCTAAACGTTCGGATAAAGACTATGAAAGAAAAGGCAGGGAACAAAGGAGTTTGGAAAAAGGGAAAGAAAGAAGAAGAGGCGAACATTCAGACTCCAGGAGAGATGCACGGAGAAGTCACAAAGACAAGCCCAGCAAAGAGTCAGGCAGGGTGGATCGAGACAGATACAGAGACCCTGAAGGTAAAAGAGCTTCAGGATTGGAGAATATAAAAAGAAAACGAGAAAACACGGAGAGAAATTCTGTAAAAGCTCAAAGCAGCAAATGCCGGAAAGACCCTGAAACTCGCAGCAGTGAATCCCCAATGACATTTGAGAGAAATAAGACGGAGAAGAAAAAGGAGAGGAAAACCTGGCCTCTGGCAGAGAAAGACATCTGGGAGGGAGGCATTCAGATGAAACCACAGAAGAAGATTAGCATCAACATAAACCTGGAAGGTAAAAAGTCTGAAGGAAAAATAAAGAGAGATATTCAGGCTGGTAATGGAGAGCAGGAGAGGTCAAACAGAGGAGAGACAAACATTGAAGAAAATAAGGAAACCAGCAGAGACATGGAAGAGGTGTCTGAAGACAAGAGACAGAAATGGGAGAAAGCTACCTTCAGAGATGATGAAGGAGAGTTGTTCGAGAAGAAACGGGAGACAGAAAAGGAGGATTTTGACTTGTGGCATAGTTTCTGCAGAGAAGTGGAGGAGGAGAAGGAAAAACATCCAGATGAAAGAGACAGGATGGAGGCCAGCAAAGGAGAAGAGGTGACAAACGAGGAGGTGAAGTTATTCGCGAGCACAACTAAGGAGATAGTTGAGGGGGAAAGCACATTCAAGGAAAACATAGAAAACCTGCCGGGGAAGTCAAAGGACGAGCTGATGGAGCTACTGAATTGGAGGATGATGCAAGAACAAGAACAGGATACGAGGATGTCCAATTCACAGAGCAGCAAATACAAGAGCCACCTTGACAGACTGAACACCATGGTGGACGACGACGGGTCAGAATGTTTCTGCTTTACTCTTTATCCTACCATTATGCAAATATTTCAAAACTGGTTAATTGTCAAAAGATGCACAGAAATGACTGTCTTGCTTTGTCAGCTCTAATCTCTGCCCTAGATATAAGTAAGTAAGTCAAACTTTATTTATATAGCACCCTTCTCAACACGGAAAGTGCTTTACAGCAGAGTCCTGCATCGGGTCGGGTATCCGCGGGTACCCGACGGGTGACCCGCAAAAAAGGTGATTTGCGGGTGGTATTTTTTCAAACGCTTTTTCCCGGGTTCGGTTCTGGGTAAAACAAAGATGATGCGGGTCGGGTTGCGGGTGTTGCATAATAAATATATTTAAATAATAATAATTTAGTTTAATGTTTAAATCCTCAGACCTCTCCCCCGCGGGACCCAGCATAATCATAACCTCTACAGCGCATCTATCTGCTGCTGAGCGCGCCACATTCTGAATGGCTGAGGTGAAGCTCTCTAGCGGAGAATACAGCATTTTCAATAACTCTTCCTCAAGAGCGAAATCCAACGTCTGGGAGGCTTTTGGTGTCATCCTAACATCCCACGCTTTTTGAGCCAAATATGCAACTGCGTGTGTTAATAATTGCACGTTTTCACTGCTCGTATATATGCGGGTTCGGGTCGGGTTGCGGATCTTGTGCCGGCGGGGCGGGTCGGGTTGCGGAACTAATTGGCAATATGTGCGGGTAGCGGGGCGGGTTCGGTATTGCACGTCGCGGGTGCGGGGCGGGAGCGGGTCTTGAAAATCAGACCCGTGCAGGACTCTGCTGCCTGCACCACCCGTCCCAATACTTTATATCAATATGACATTACAATTAACGCGTTGCACATTACCGCAACAGGACTGGATGATAATCAGAAGGTGTAATTAGAAGTAGTAAAACAATTTAGATGAGATTCCAGTGTCAACATCTTCTCCACCACACAGGGATCTAGGCTAGAGACGGCACAACGGTAAGTAACAGATGATTAAATTAACACCATACCATACACATTCTCGCGTTCAGCTCAGCAGCNTACTTAGTACTATACTACTATACTAGTAGTAGTAGTGTGTGTGTGTGTGTGTGTGTGTGTGTGTGTGTGTGTGTGTGTGTGTGTGTGTGTGTGTGTGTGTGTGTGTGTGTGTGTGTGTGTGTGTATCTTGTAATGAATGGCCAATCTAGTCTATCTAGAGAAAACCTTCTCATCACAGCGCTCCCATAATTACTAGCTCTCTGTGAAAACTACGCAGTGCTTTATTACTTTACAATGCGGCGCAGTCGAGGCTCGGGACTGAAGAGACGAGATAAACACACAAAGTGTTCATTTTATATTTCAGTCATTTACTGCAGCTGACGATCGCAGCCAGTGAAGGCTAAGTGATTTACAATGAGCGCAAAGCCTCAGTGGCAAGAGACGCACACATCAGATTTAGTTCAGTCAAAAACACACTCATAATGAATGTGCACTGTGAAGCTCACTTGAAAACGCCTCAACCATTGAAAATGTAGTCATTCTTAACATTTGAGTAGTATTGTTTTTTTTTAACCCAACTGGTTATATGCATTCCTTAAAGTTTATAATAATAATAATCCTTGTATTTATTATAGCGCTTTATCAATGACTCTCAAAGCGCTTTACAAATACACATTACATATACAGATCATTCATACATGTAATGGTCATCTATTGTGGGCAATACCCACAGGAGCAAGTTCAGGTGAAGTGTCTTGCCCAAGGACACAACGGCTTTACAGACGCAGCGGCGGCGGGTTTCACCCCCTTGATCAATGCACTGCACCGCCCATTTTCACACCTCAAAGTCATCGAGGCGCTTTTACAAGTACACATTGATATTATACATGTACTGTGGACAATACCCACAGGAGCAAATTCGGGTGAAATGTCTTGCCCAAGGACACAACGGCCTGAAGCAGTGGGGCGGGAGCGGGTTTCGAACTGGAGTTCCCCAACACCCCCTTGATCTGATGATCAAACGCACAGACCACTGCCTGCCACCACCCGTCCCAATACTTTATATCAATATGACATTACAATTAACGCGTTGCACATTACCGCAACAGGACTGGATGATAATCAGAAGGTGTAATTAGAAGTAGTAAAACAATTTAGATGAGATTCCAGTGTCAACATCTTCTCCACCACACAGGGATCTAGGCTAGAGACGGCACAACGGTAAGTAACAGATGATTAAATTAACACCATACCATACACATTCTCGCGTTCAGCTCAGCAGCCAATTACACAGTAATTACACAAGTTAAGAGGAGACAACAACACCTCGCGTTGAAAGAGAACAGAACCACTTCACACATTTAGAAGTACAGTATAATATGTAACATGTCTGCAGTCATGCCTAAAACATTGGACATTAACCCAAGTGTTTTAAACTGAGAAATCTTTCATTTTAAACAAGATAACGGTGTGTTTCAGCTGGTCTCCTGTCCCTCTTGTATCCTCTTTTGAGCATGCGTCACGTTATCTGCCACAAACTGACATATATTGACTTTTCAACAGGTAACTATTTTTACAATCTACTCTTTATATCTTGGTATTTTGTAACTGGATATTTTAACCAGATGAAGGATTTTCGTCATAGGATTACATTTTCCACTTTGGTTTCACACTTATAATACATTATACAACTTATTTTAAGAACTGCAAACTGAATTTGAAGTGTGAAATTGTTGGAGTTTATAAATATTGCACATATCTTATCATTGTAACATAAAGCTCAGAGTAATTAATCAGAGAAATAACTGAGCTAACATTAGCGTCAGCAGATTGTTTTATTTAGAGTTTAAACCAGTGGGTCCATTGGATTGAAAGAGTAGGAGACCTCTGCAGATAATTTGACTCCAGTTAAAATCCTCCTTAATGATGAGCAATGAAGGAGTCCTAACTGCTCTGAATATATTGGTGGTGATGGTGCAGTTTCCATCCATGTTGCTGATACATTCTCATCACACTTCAATCAGGGGATCTTCATGGTAACAGCCACTACGGCGGCGCTGTGAGACTGTTATTAAGCTCAGTGGTGCTTTTTTTGATTAAGTGATGTTTACTTTGATATCCATCTTAATTAAGCCTATTACCGTACTATAATTTGATGATTATTTATAGACATTAAGGAGTGCTAAGGCTGATTGGAACAACATTATTTTAGTTATAAGATGACAACATTGGCAACAGACTCCTTACGCTAAATATATATTAAACCAAAGCTAAAATTGATGAAGAAATAGGAATAAAACTTATGATACAAAAAAAACAATTTATTTGTAAAAGAAAAGATTGAAAGTGGGAAATATCATAAAAGTGTAAGGGGTTTTACAGGGACACAGTTATCCAAACAAACAGTAGGACAGGTTTTGTGGTTCTGTTCAATCTCATTATTAAATGTCACACAGTTTAGACCAGGGGTCACCAACCTTTTTGTCACCGAGGGCTACTTCAAGGGTACTGAGTAATACGAAGGGCTACTTGTTTGATACAAACTTCCTGAATAACATAATTGCACGGTTCACCTTTAATGATAATATTATTATTAATAATAATCAGAATACATATTAATTTACTGTATGTAAAGGACTGTCTAATCACATGTTAATGTTAATTATTCCTCACAATAATTATTAACAATGATTTACCATTGCTATAGCAACCCCATTGTTTTGTTATGAAAATGTATCTATATTTATACACATTCTCGCGAGATCTATCAGGGGTCGTTGGAATGCTGCGTTCACACCGGACGCGACTTTGCTCTAATCGCTTGAGTTTCACCGCTGCTGCCAGCTGTGTTTACTCGCATCATTCAAACAAGACGCGCTGGCTCGGGAGCTACAACTACAACAACATGAGCATATCTTACCGTGATTAAATTGTAATACACGTTTCTAAATGATGCCGAAGTAACAACATACTGATACCGTTTAGTAAAAACCATGAATTAATGCTTGACAAGTCTGCAGACAAGACGGCAGGCGAAAAACCTTTTAAAATGCTTGTTTTCTGAATGGAGATTGGGTCGACCAGGCTAAGCTAACGTTGTATAACGTTGTATATGCTCACTCCACACAGACATAAATAAACCAGCGACTGTATTCGCCATGACACAGACAGTCTGTGGTTTGTACTTGTTTAACTTTTGTCCAGTTTCTGAAAAGATATGAGGAGCTGTGATCTCTGTTTGCTAACTGCTAATGTTTTCTGGTTGAACGTCAGTGGCAGGCTGAGATCCTCACCACTGGTGTGTGTGTGTGTGTGTGTGTGTGATGAGGCCCATGAGGCCCATGATCGTAGCTGCTCATGCTAGCTTGTCTCAGCTAAAGGTGGAACGGAGATTTGGTGCGTGGAGTTCAACTCTGAACCTATCTGGGGTCAGAGTTCAATTTCACGCACCAAATCTCCATTTCACTCACATAGTATGTACATACAAAATGTGTGCTTTTAAAATGTTATATTCAAAATTGTCATTTTAGAAAATTAAAAATGTATTCAATATATTTTAGCTCCATGGTGACTTGTGCTATTTTTAGAACATGCACGCGGGCGACCAATTTCCCCCCTGCGGGCGACTTAGTGCCCGCGGGCACCGCGTTGGCTACCCCTGGTTTAGACCCACCAGAAAGATGTGCCAGAGACGTTGGAAAGAAATGAGTTCAAATGTAATAATGAGACAAAACAGTGTTGCCACAGATGTTTAGGTTATTAATGTTAACAAATCTGACGGAGAGTTAAGGGGTTCAGCAGAAGAAAACAGAATAAGACAAGGGTACATTTTTTGGAATAATTTCCAAGAACACATTGAGAGAGCTCTGTGGAGAACTAACAGTGGAACAACTCTGTAGCATCCAATCACAAACTCACAGTGCAGAAAGCACGGCTGCTCTCGTGTTTTTCTCTGGGATTTCCAAAATGTTGAAGGCACATTTAGTGAGCCTCCCACTGACCAGGAGGTGAGATCGTATAGCTGCAGTCCAAAGTGCAACCATTTCCAATTGCTGTGACACAAACTTTTACTGTCACAGTTACTTATAAGAACCCAGAGATACTTTTGTTATTGGTACCGCTCGGTTGTCTGCCCTACTTGTGTGATTCCATGGTTCCATTTTGGTGTTTTTATTGGATGTGCAGAGGACACATTTTCACTTGGGTCCAGGT